TTTTTTTTTTTTCATTCAGCAAACATTTATCGAGCACCTACTCTCTTCAAGCATTGCTCAAAGGATTTTGCGTATATCATTAAACAGTTAGAAAAAAAAAATCATTGCCCTCTTGAACTTTCATTTTATTTGGGAAAACAGATCAAAATCATTAAACCTAATGAATAGTAAATGATATAGTATGTTTGAAAGTTTTAAGTGTTGTGGAACCATGAGAACTGAGTAAGGGGATACAGAATGCAGCGTGAACTATGAATATCAATTTTAAATCGGTTACTCCGGGTAGGCATCTTGTCAAACTGTTGATAAAACTATACAGCTCACAGAGTCAGTGGTGGCAGCTGAGGTTCAGAAAGCAACTCTGTGGGTCCAAGAGATGAGGGAGGCCAAGAGAATCTGAGAGGCACATAACGTATTTCTAGCACAGCACTGCTTATAATAATACATTTCACTGTTTTGTTAAAATAACTAATATCAACATGCCTAGCTCCAAGTACCGAGCAGGCACTCAACACATTAGGCCATCTCTGAATGTCTGTATTCAGTTATTGATGTTCTTTCATGAATCCATTTATCTTTATAGAACTGCGTGATTGGGTCAAAGACATTCNGAAAGAGGACAGCCAGAGAGTTTTCCTAGTATCTGGTTGTTTTTGTTTTTTGCTTTTCCCAGTTGCCTTCAGCTCAAAATAATCCTTATGTCAGAGGAACATATTTCGGGGTGACATATCCTGAACACCTTCAGTACCCAGCAAAGGAAACCTTGGAAAAGTCATGTGTTCTCCCTGACCTTCAGGTTCTTTATTTGGAAAAAAAAAATGAGAAGGATGCTAAATACTTGTTCCTCCAAGTGTGGTCCCTGGCCAGTGACAGCTTCTGTAAGTTTGTGTGAAATGTAGAAGCAAAGGCCAGACACCCACCCCATCAATGAATGGGAATCTGCATTTTTACAATGCCCTGAGGTGATTCCCGTGCCTGGAGCTTGAGCAGCACTGCTCTACAAGACCTCAGAAGCCCCTCTGCCATCAGTGACATAAACCCAATGTGTAGATCGACTCACTTTGTAGACCCATTCTGTAGTCTAAATATGTTTGTTGACCTGCATACATGTAATAAATTTGAGATTTATGGAGGAAATGGCATTTGTTGTTGGCGAGTGTAAGAGTGTAATATGTGAAATAGAGAGAGGGAACACTTCTACTCATAAGGGAATTCCTAGAGTGAAGACAAAGACCACATTGAACAAAGACAACGTCTTTGCAAAATTCTGCCTCCAAAATGTAGGTTCTAGCCACCCACATGTTTGACAGTAAAAGCTTCACAATTGATTTTCTGACTTCTAGGCTTGGTCCTCAAAAGTTGGGTTCAGAAATAAAACTGTAAACATTTCTTAAATAGTTTCAAAATTATTTTCTGCCCTTAGCCTGCTCTTAGTGCACTCACTTCCAAATGAGCTTCAGGATGTCCTAGTTGCCTTATACAATATAAGATTGATTTATCGATTGATTGATTGATTTTGGTGGAGAAGAATGTATCACATTAAGAAGTTTAAACACTAAATGATTCAGATCAGAGAAAACAAAAATCATTTTGAAAGTAATTCTTTTTTAAAATTCCTATAGTTGACTTCTGAACATTATTTATGAAAACAGAACTTGTAAGTTAGAAGATCACTTTAGGAGCTATAAATGTCAAACATGAATGTGAAGAGAACCTAGGAGTGGGAGGCCAATTTCTGGACAAAGACAGAATTACATGTTTTCTTTTAAGGGCCATTCTAGTTAAAAAATAGTGAATTGAGTCAAAATGAAATGACCAGTCCTTTGTGGACATAGAGGTAATCCGTAACTGAGCTGGGGCATGGCTGGAGTGGGACCGTGGAGGCATAGAGACTGAATTTGAATTGTGGATCTGAAGTATAACTGTCGGTGAAATCTTTGCAAAATTGTTAAGTCTTTGCACATTCTTTTTTTTTTTT